TTGTAACCGAGGTGTCTATTTCACAACTCACCTTGACCAGAAACAGGACATTTGATGAGGATTGCTGCAAATTCTACTCAGGTTTATTCAGCAGTAGGCTCTACATGCATGAGTCCTGATCCAAAAAACCCACTGAAGTTAATAGAAGGGCTTTGGAACAGGCTTATAAAGCCACCCTTTGAAGGAGTCTCCTGCTGCTTTTTTTTTTGTAGCTGCTCGCTGTCATTTAAAAATGAAGACTAAGGGAAAAAGAGGGAGACAAAAGAAGAAAAGATAATAGGCAAAAGAAAGAAAGAAATAAAATGAAGGCGGTAAAGGCAGGAGGAGAAATTACAGCAATATAAGACAAAAGACACGATATTTTATTGTGGTTCAATCACTGCGTGTTAAGGTTTGCGTTGTCTTTTTAGATGTTTTATTATTTGTAGTTCATTAATTCTCAACAGTTTTATTCATTCTTTTTAATAGCCCTAGTGATTTTTTTTCATGGATAGGGGGAAGAAAGGAAGATAGAGAAGATTATGCAAACTGCAGGCTCAGAGGCTGTATAGGCTGCCATCTCTGCTAACACTGCCTTAGCAATAGCTCGCTGGACTACAGGAGTTCATCTATGAATCAGGAATACTAACCACTGTAGCTGAACTGGGCTCTTTAAGCCAGATCACCAGCTTTCTTCATTTACATTCTAAAAAGTACCTTAATGTGGAAGTCCGTGTCCACAAGGATGTTTTCTGGTTTTAGGTCTTTATGTACTAAGCCTTGCTCGTGTAGATAAAGCATTCCTTCTGTGATCTCCAGCACAAAACGCCCTTTCACTGATAAAGGCATCGAGAGCTAAAATGAAGAACAAAAATACTGTCCATTAAAAAAAAGCGCTGCTATAACCACTACAACCTTTAAATCTAAAGTCTTTAAGATAGCTTCTTTCTCTCTCAGTCCCACGCAGTACCTCTGCTCAAGCTACAGTAATTAAAAAAAACCAAAGTCCTCTTGGATCTAAATTCTTACATCAAAATAAATCGAGAGCCACTCCACGTTTACATGAGTGTTCTTGTAACACAAATTCTCCAAATCTCTCTACAAATACACTCCAACTCTGAACTATATAACTGTGGTCTGCTCCACTGTGTTGAATACGAGAGCCACAGCTGTTCTCTGCTTTTACAATCTGCTGTCTTTAGAGAAGGCAGGGCTGCCATTGGCCATTTAAAAGAGATAAGGGGGTCAGAAACTAAAGGCTCCATCCTTTGGAGACTGAAGTAACATGCTGCCTCCTTCAAACATCTTATCAACTCTAAGTAGCATAAGGATTCTGTAATTAATGAATCAATTTACTGCTCACTTTCTGTAGAGCTTTCATCAAGTTCCCCCGGTCCACATACTCCATTACAAGTGAGTAGTTTCCATCTTCCAAAATTATACCTAGCAGTTTTACAACACGGTCATGCTGCAGTTTGTGCATAATCCTGCCTTCTTCAAGGAGGGAAGCATTATATCTGCAAAACAGAAATTGTATCAGATATAGATGTCAGGCTAGAAAGAACATAGAAATGAAAATGCTGTTGATTCGTAATTGAAAATAACGGTCAAAAATGTCAGTGTCCTTAGAGCCACTGTAAGATGAATCAGACCTTTGGCTGGTTTTGAACTGGTACAGTTTTACCCACTTCAGGTTATATTCTCTGAGTCTCTTCCCCAATGCCTTGTACAGAGGATCCCTACAGACTGTGCGCAGTCTGATGTTAGGGCCTGCTTTTCAGAAATTGCATAAGCACACATTTCATAAGCACACTGCTGGTTGCGTACATCCAAATCCCTGAATTGGGGTGGGATAAGGGACAGGGAGGTCTTAAAGAGCTGCTGGAGAAGCAGGATCAGGACAATTTCTACTTTTAGACATACTAAGTCTTGTACAGGAAAGTACAAAAGTCTCTTTCCCAAAGGGCTGGTATTCATGTTCACTTTTGAAATGGATTCATTACAGAGGGATCCACCCCTTATACTGGAGTACTGGTTTAGGATGAATTCAAAACCTAACTGGTCACCTGCACCTCTGTACGACTCATTAATTCTCACAGGTGCAAAGCTTGGAGCCCAATAAGGGTGTTAAAATAGGGCTGTAGCCATTTTTTGAATGGCAGAAGGGATGGTATTCTGATTATTACTACTGCTCTAAGTCACAATGCAAGAGGAAGTAGTAAAATCTCGAGGCTATGTTGCTTACTACTGCTTTCCTACCCTGTGACTTAAAAGGAAACTGCTTTTTCCTGCTGTGGCACTAGAGAAGATGGCAGTTGTTTTGCTTGCACTAGGCCCAGTTACAAGTTTGCTTAAGACTTTTGGTTCAAAGCTTTAAGGAATAACGAACTTATTAAGAGCTTGGGTAGTGAGAGAGTAAAAAAACAGAAAGAGGGCCAAAAAAATCTGGCAGGCTTCTGAAGAAAAAGTGTCCATTTTAAATGCTTTTTGCCCCAAAGCAACAGGGCAGTCTGTGGACTATCAGAATCTCTTAATTCACTTTCTACTACTGTTCAAATTAAAAACCCACCTGGTATCATTTATGTTTCATAATCCAAACTAGAAGAATGTGAGTCTTCATCTCTCTAGTGGATAACTCATGGGAGTTTTAGGATTGTTATGGCTGTGAGGTAGTAGAGCTAGAACATGACCTGAATCCATTGAAACCAACAGCTAATTCTATTCTTGAGTTAAATGAGTGGGCTTGGCTCACGCTCCTGCTCAAGGGAGAAAGGATTATATTCTTGGTATAACAGATGGGGGCTCTGAGTTCTCCTGATGGCTTATGTATGTTTAGTTCCTACTGGACATCTGCAGTTGCACAACTGTACTGAAAATTAATCTGCAAGCTTAAAAATAGCATGTACCTGCTGCTGAGTCCTTAAGCCTTCAAGAGGTCCCCTGACTCTTTAACAAATCACATCGATAGTGCTCATGTTACAAAGAAAACAGAAATCTTACCGTTAAGAATGAGGTAAAACTACAAAAGTTGGCTTGTGAGTCAAGAAAAAAAGAAAACTTGCAGGACAGTTGCTAATACTGTATTAGAGTATACTAGAGATTATATAGAGTATATTAGAGATACAGTATCTCCTCAGTCCAGAGATTTTAAGTGGTAACACTCTATTAGGATTAATCTCCATGGAATTTAGAGGATTCTTTAGTCTGCCTGAATGATCTAAATTAGAACTAAGATCCTTTTCTGTAACTTACTCAGTGCGCTGGGGTCCTGTATACACTGTTTTTAATACCACATATCCATGCTTCCTGTGAAAGCATAAAGAAATTCTTCCAAATCCTCCAGCATCTAATTGTTGCTTTTCAAGCAAATCCTGGGTGTTCATGTGAATATCTTCCAGTGACATGTTTGCAGTCTTCGCGGCTTAGTGATTACAACAAAATAAAATACCCTACAGGTCCTGGATCTGTAACACAAAGGATGAAAAGAAAATGTCATTACCCAGTATTTAGCTATTCCACTACATAAGTGTCTATGCAAGGAGTGGGACAAGCGTATATTCTTGTGACCCTTAAAAACTAGATAGGTGACAAAGGGCCTTAGTTTGAAACCAAAGATTCTGTGGATCTCATAGGATCAGACCTAAAGATCACAAAGAATGATTAATCTTGTCAATCCATTACAGTTATATTAAGCCAATGCAAAACCATGTATTTATCTGTGGATCTCAAAGTGCTGTTAATAAATGGTTCTTATCCTTCTAATATACAGTAGATCAGCACTGTTTTTACACTCTACACATGCAAAAATTAAAAACCAGGAAAGTCAAGAGCCATGTTTCCAAAGGTATATAATAGCTAATGATTCTGACAGGTAGCTCATGACGTTTTCTAAAGTGCCTGAGCATGGACCTGCAGATGCCTAGAGGCTTACAAAACTCTTTAAGCTTCATTTTAGGCATCTTTGAAAATCCAGTTTTAAAGAGTTTGCTTGAAGCTAAAGAAGGTGTCTCTGGAGGACAAAGGAAAGAGCTCAGTTTTTATGAAAAACGTATTTTCCCAGTTGCGCAAATTTAAGGAAAAAAATGCTGGGAAGGACTGTGGTGGGGACACAAGGCAGCTTCCCCCTCAAAAAGAAGGGGAACAAAGAAAATGTGATGGTTTGCAGTAAATGCTGCTAAATGCACCAAAAGACTGAGGGCTTGGGGAAGTCTATGAAATGGGTAGATAGGTAAAGCCCAGAAAAATTCTAAGCTCTTGAAAAAACTGTGATGGTCTCTTGCCCATGTCTCTCATGAGGTAAAATCTTAAAAGAAGGCTAGGCAGCCCAGCCTGCACCTGCTGCACACGTTAACAGGCTGAGCTGCTAGTATAGGTACAAACTACAAGCTCTGTCTTATCTTCACTAAACCTTCACCTTAAGCACTTTACATCAGGTAAGGAAAATGTTTTCTGAGAAAAGAAAGTCCAAGGAACTATAAAAGGGTGGTTCAGCTTCTATTCCTTTTGGATGACTATGACACAAATATACAGGGCTGGGAAGAAGGCACCATTTCAAAGTGCAACTATCAGCAACAGTAGATTAGCTCGCTCAGGTAACTAAGACCTCTAAATGAGATAGAAAAGGAATTCTCAAATTTTTCAGAGCAACAAGCTACTGCTAAGTCTTGTGAACTGCTGTCCACCTGTATCATCATGTCTCTAACCAAAAAGACCGTTTAACACAGTTAAGAACATCAGCTGCAGCCCAATTGCTATGGCCTCTTTCTGGAGACTGGGGACTAAGGAGCTCGGGAAAAAAGCCTGTAAAGGAGTGGGTGTGTGAGGGAAGAGAGGAGAGGGGAAAAGGAAGGGCAGAGAGCATGTTAGTGTGCAAGTCTAGAAACTGGCTAGTCATTTCAGTACTGATAAGCCAAAACGGGCAAGAGGAAGGCTAATTAAAAAAAAGGCTTGAGCCCTCAGGAAGCAGAAGGTAAGAGCTTCTTCTTCTAAGTATATACGCTCTATGGGTTGTTGTTCTATAGACAGGAAATGTCCTCTCCGCATCCAGAGCAGCGTGCTCCCTCCAAGATCTTCTTGCTTGCCTTTCCTGGTTTTGAAAGGATGAAGTTCTTCTTTTGCTGAAGTGCCAGCCTGCCTTAGGAGCACAGGACTGAGGATATGGCAGCATTCATTGGGTAAGCAGGTAAGGCTTGCCACACCTAACAGCTGTTGGGGGTGGTGGTGTGTTTTGTTTTGGTTTTTTAGTTGCTTTACAGTTAATCGAATAGCTATGCAACAAATGACTCATAGCAGCGCCAAGAACACCCAGTGCTGCTCTTGTAGGTGAGCTCTGGTCTCCACTGAGGTTGCTGGTAATGTTCTGGCTTTCTTAGGTGTGACGTACAGACTGCTGTGAAGATGAGCCTGCTACAAGTACAAAGGCCTAAATTCAGTCACGAGACTTAAACATGACATGGAATAACACCTTCCTTGTGTATCTGGGGTCTCTCTTTCAAGTATTAGTTCAAAGTCACATATCTATAGTAATTTTTGCATAATAATGGTAATTATGCATCTAGCTAGTAATTACTCAGGACAGAACCACATATTCTGTCCTTATGATCATGCAAATACACTAGATATATATTTCAGAAAGCTAAATCCCTAAAGTTACATTAATGCTATCGATAGCTTGGGGTTACCTGACAGTCATTACTATATAACTTAATGAAAAGCAGCCCTGCCCCAAACTACAGCAACACTCTTCCTATATAAATTGCTAATGCATTTTCCCATCAAGCCATAATTAGTCACCATGAACGCTGAAATGAACTGGATAACATTCAACATAGGAGATTTTCTCACACTGGGGCAAAAAACCCTCCATTGGGCATGTTCTAGTATTAGGATGTTACTAACTTTTCTTTTTTAAAGTAGAAAGTACTCTAAGAACTTTGAACCAAAGATTTGCTTCAAGCCCAAAGGGTTTTTTTAGGATGGACATCACAGGGAAGCAATTTCTGGCACGGTTTTTAAGGAAAGACTGCTTACTTTGGTATATTACTTCACTGATATTACTTGGGAATGTCAGATAATAGAGAAATCAAGGAGGAGAGCTCCAAGGCTCAAGTCCAGTCCAAGTTTACTGCTTTTTATTACGATACATGATTTTTCAAATCTATCCTTAGTAGCTATGATACTTCAGGATAAGCATTATATATCCGTGATATTATATAATGAGTATACTGAGTGAACAGGAATTTTGAAGTTAGTTCAGCCTAACCTCACACAAGCTAAGCATACTTACAGCGTTTAGTTTGTGTTCTATAGGGTCCCCTTCATCTGTACACTTGGTTGATCACTAAGCAAATTATTTTTTAACACGATGTTCTGAACAGCTTTATTAAGTTGGTTTACTTTTAAGAAGTGTCAACATGTACTACAAAAATTTGGAATACTGGCTGCTAGAAGAGGGGAAGATTTGCCCAGTAATACGTTTGGGTGTTCTTTAGAGAAGGATAACAGTGTAACGTGGGTTTGTGGCTTTTCTTTTTAACATCATGGGTTATGTTCCCTCCACTGGCCCCCAAAGGGCCCAGAAACTCCCAAAATTGTGACCTGATCATTAGAGGTCATTTGGGTCTGATCGTCATTCAAAAGTAATTTGCTTCATTTTAACAAATTGTTACTGATCTGATACAGATCTCAGGTAGCCTGCACAATTAAGGGGGACTGCTAAGGGTATTAGCACAGTAATATGAAGAAAGATTATATAGTGATAATGGCTGCACTTGTGGTCTAGTTACACTAGTAATGCAAAGTTTCTTGAGAGTTAATACAGGATGTTCTAATACAAGATATTATCAGAAAAAGTGGACAAGTTTGCAGGCACCAAAACTCTTGGTCACTTCAAGGTATCAATTATGAAGAGAAGAGAATAACAAACAGGAAACAAAACCTGTAGCACTAACACGCGTAAAATGCTGCACACTTGGTGAAGACGTTTCAAAAGATGTCAGTGCATCACAGCTATATCACTGTAACCTTGATGACCCATTCAGTCTAAACCTTTCCCTTCTGCTAGGATTTTTTTTCCACTGCTGCACTTGTTGGCTCAGGGATGAACTTTTCTTTTGGAAACAGCAAAGAAAATATTTGTGTCAGATCAACAGCAAGCCACAGCTGGGATTCTACAGGAATACAAGGACGGACCAAGACAAGGGAGACAAAGATGCCAATTAAAAGGGGCTGAGATTCTTTGGTAGAACCAGAATACGGCAGAGGAAGGCAGAAAGAGGAAAGAACAAGGATTGTGCAGGGGTTTGCACCAGTCATATTTTGTAATAATTAGTTACAATTTAGGATAGAAGCGCTCATAAAAATGCATGTTCTTATATGCGAATTAGAGTAAGCCATTTCAGTAGAGTACCATCTTACACTGGTATGACCCTGTCAGAGGAAGGCACTAGCTGCTACCAAACAGCTTTCTACCAGAAACATGCTCTCAAACTAATTTCCTATCACCCAGATCCCATCACACTGTTGCAGAGAAACACTTGAGCAAAATGCCACCTCTGGACCTTACTACCAGGGAGACTCTGGTTTAACAAGTTATTTCCTAGTGTGAAAACACAGCTTTAGCAAATCCCTTCTTAGCTCAAAAAGCCTTAAAGAGCCTGTCCGGAACGAGGTGGCTATAGCCCAGCGCAGTTCAGGGAACCACCACGAACCAGGGCCCAGTCCCGCAAGGTGCCGAATGCCGCAGCACCAACAGTCAGGGGGAAACGATGCGCCCAGCCCCGAGGCCAGGCCTCTGCCTCAGACGCAGCTTCAGCCTAAGCGCCCCAAACCGCAGCCGAAGCGCACTGAAGCATAGAGCAAACGTCCTGCGAGGCGAGCACGAAATAAACGTGCGGCTTCAGCAGCAGATGCAATTCTGAGAAACCCTAACGGGAGCCTTCTCGAGCCTAGTTCCTTGTCGGCCAGCTTGACATCTCCTCCTCCTTCTCCTCCTCGCAGCTTCCTGTAAGGCGGCCGCGCTCAGGCCT